TCTTTCCACTTCAAACGATTTACTTGAGAAAAACTCCCTCACAGGTGTGGTTTTAGTTAATTCCAGACGTGCTGAAGTTGACAACCAAGAACAGCCATCACAGCCCCATAGGCTTATATATTTGAATGCTCGGTCCCCAGGTGGTAGAAGCATTTGGGAAGGATTAGGAGGCGTGGCCTTGTTAGAGGAGCTGTGTCACTGGGGATAACCCTGCCCCCACCCTGTTCCATGCCTGCAGATAAGCTATAAGCTTCTGCTCCAACATCATACCTGCCTGCCTGCTGCCGTGCTCCCCACTGTGGGCCACCTCTCTGGAACTGAAACCAAGCCCCTAGTAAAAACTCTTTGTGTAAGTTGCCTCGGTCGTCATGTCCCTTCACAGCGGCAGACACGTGACTAAGACTGAAGTAACACTAAATCTGCGTGCCTCAACTGACGCAGCTTGGGTCTGGAACACAGAGTAGGGGTGGTGAGGGATTGAAGGACAGACACCCAGATATATGCACAGAAGAGCTGGGCTCAGCTGGGTTGTGCACACTAACGGCAATACCTACTACTGCTGTGCCTGGGAACCTTGGTGAGTTTATTCTGTATAGCGGGGGAGGGGGGGGGAGTTGCTGGTGTTGTGTAGCAGTTTAACTTCGAGATAGGGAAACTTGCTAAGACAGAAGGCAGACAACTCAAAACAGCTCCAGGAAGTTCCTGAAACTGACAAGATTCCGTAGGCCCTCCCTCCCGAGAGGAAACAATACAGGCTAATGGAGAGTCATCCTCAGGCAAGCGGACGAGAGACCGCCAGCTTCCTGAAAGAAGCAGAAAGCAGGTGAGCTACCTGGAAGAGGTTTAAATCAACTATGTCACGTGGGAAGGCGTCTCTCCAGTCTGTTGAACTGGGAGCTTGGCTGTGGAGTGCACTCTAGATCCCAACTTCTCTGAGCTGTCACTCATGCTGAGGTGGGCTTTGTTGGTGCAGGTGTCTTTGAGTCATTTCTGCTCCCATAATGACTAGTTACCCATATTCCTGTGAGTGACATCAATAAAATTCCTTGGCTCACAAAGTTGGACTGTGGTAGTGTTGATACTTTGTCCTGCTGTGGGCTGCCTAACCAAGGAGAGTAGATGTGTGTTGCATGTGTCTCCCCAGGAAAAGTCTGCCACACAACAGTTGGCTAGTCTTCCACAGATCCCTGTAGGCTGGCAGTCTCAGGCAGCAAACATTCTGGAAGAATAAACTGATGTGGGGTGGCCTTCTGTGTAAGTGTCGCGTTTATTGGTTGATGAATAAAGCTGCTTTGGCCAATGGATTGGCAGAGTATAGAGAGGAAGAAGGCGGAGTCAGGGAGACACCCTGTAGCTGCTGAAGGAGAAAGATGCTAGAACCTTCCTGGTAAAGCACAGCCTCATGGTTATACACAGATGAACAGAAATGGGTTAATTTAAGATGTAAGAGCTAGCAAGGTGTTGCGGGAGGTCCTTCCGCCCCTCCAACCAATAGCTGCTGTGATACCAGCCCATTGGGGCGTGGTCTCTCTCCCTTTAAAAAAGCGGCTATTTCCTCTGCTCGCTCTCTTCACTTCCTGCTCCGCCGGAGACTAGACTCCCTTCCTGGTTGTGCAGATGGCTGTTGTCTGGGACGGTGATCTGTAAGTTTTCCCCTTTAAATAAATAACACCCTATTAATCATAACTCCAAACTGGTGTGGCCTTGTTCGTGACTTACGCCTTCAGCAAGGAATATGCCTGAGCCATTGGCCAAACAGTGTTGTAATTAATATAGTTTCTGTGTCATCATTCGGGTCTGGACGGCTGAGAAACTAAAGTACAGCTTCTGTCTACAATAAACCATCATTTCTAGTTTCTGTATACACCGCTCCATCTTTACTGAGGACTTCTTGCTGCTCCTGACAGCTAAGTGGTCTCTTATCTATTATCTTGATCTGAATTATGAATACCACCCTGCAGACTCCTGTATACCTTGTGGAAAAATTGCTGGAAGTGGAATTCTACTTGGCTAAGTGAAGACTATAGGTTATGTGACTATCTTCATTATTTTTTTTTTCTGAGATAGTTTTTCTTTGCGTAACAGTCCTGGAGCTAGTTCTATAGACCAGGCTAGCCTTGAACTCACAGAGATCTGCCTGCCTCTGCCTCCTGAGTGCTTGGATTAAAGGTGTGCACCACCATTACCCGACATTTTCTTATAAAGCATCATGATCAAAAGCAACTTGGGAGAGGAATGGGTTTACTTGGCTTTCATACCATAGTCCATTAACGGGAGTGAAGGCAGGAACCTGGAGTCAGGACTGAACTAGAGACTGAAATAACTGAACCTACTCTCTTGCTCTTTACGGCTTGCTCAGCCTGCTTTCTTAGAGCATCCAGGTCCACCAGCCCGGGGTGAAACCACCCATATGGACCGGGACCTCCCCATCAATTGCTAATCAAGAAAACACCCCATGGACATGCCTGATAGAGGCATTTTATCATTAAGGGTCTCTCTTACCAGATGACCCTATCTTGTGTCAAGGTGACCAAAAAAATGCCAGGATAGTGACCTACAAGTCACAGTCTGAGATTGTGGAAATGGGTCTCAGAGTCTAGCTACATTAAGAGTTGATGAAGGGCACCTGACATTAGAGACGACTAACTTCCAGGGCTGTCCTTTTAAACACGGCCGGCCCTGACAATGCAGACTTGTTTGTTTTTTATATTGCAACAACCACGCCTAATTCTGCAGGATGGCAACTTATTTTTTTTTAAAGACATTCTGATTACTAGTAGGTAATAACGGGGCTCACGTTCATTTATGGATCATTGGTTATAATGGGACAAAAGCTGCCACACAGACCATCCTCCCTCGGAGAATTTACTCAAGGCTCGTATAATCAGAAATACCATTGTCTTGATTGTGAGTTCCTATTCATTGTCTCTCCTAGTGAATGTGGAAATGGCCACCTGGGTTTTTCCAGGATGAGCTTTGGATGCACCTTTATTGCCTGAAAATTGAGGATGTGGACAAATCAAAATGTGCAATACCTTATATTCCATCTACATTTGTCTTGTGCATTGTAAATATATTTTTATTTTTTAGTAATATAGGCTCGCAAATCATGGAAGCAGCTGGGACAGCCTCTAATCAATTCACGTCATTCCAAATCTATTTTTAATCACAAGCAAAGATTTCTTTAAAATACACTTGTACATTTCACCTGTGAATGCGTGTGACTTTTCTTTCAGTGTGTTTTCATATCTGCTGGTATTGAAAGAGCAAAGCATACTGTGGGTTTCCTACTAGCTATTCTTTGAAGCACCGTTTTCCCAACAAAAGATCTTTTTTTTTTTTCTCGGCATGACAAAAATTGAAATCTCATGTGTATTCAACAGTAAATAGATAAATTTTAATTTGTTTCCACTTGAAGAGTTCCAGTTCATATAAAAGTTTACAAATGGCTGGGCGGTGGTGGTGCACACCTTTGATCCCAGCACTTGGGAGGCAAAGGCAGGAGGATCTCTGTGAGTTCAAGGCTAGCCTGGTCTACAGAGTGAGTTTCAGTACAGGTTCCACAGCTGCTGAGAAACCCTCTCTCAAAAAAATCAAAAAAGGAAAAAGAGAAAAGAAAGAAAAAGTGCCAAACAAAACAAGTAAAGTTTACAAATTTTTTTTTTGCAATATAAAAAGTTGCCTTGATGGCATTATGATAGAATGTGCTTTTAGAATAGTTTAATAGTTAAATACCAGGATTGAAACCTAATCTCTAGGTTACAGTCCTATAGAAGTGGAGGATAGTCATCAAGACTGTGTTTTGTATTTTGTTGCACTATACACTATAATAAGTCAAGGAATCAACATATTACATTTGTATTATCATTATAGTTTGGTTTTTGTTAATTTTATTATGTTATGTATATATGGAGAAGTTCTAAGAATTACACATTTAACTACGTTTAACACCCACACATTTTACAATAAAGGGCTGTTCACCTAAGGCGGTCAAAGCACTGATATGTATTTGCGATAAATAGAATTACATGAATTTTATTCTGATATTAAAAGTTACGTAATAAAGATTTATTTCTTTTAAGCTGAGGGGAAAAAGATGGTGTGGGGGTTGGGCTTGGTGGTGCACGCCTGTCATTTCGGCACTGGAGGACTGTAGCAGGAAGATCACGAGTTCAAGGCTAGCCTGGGTTACAGCAGAACCTGCCATTGGGGTTTGACAGTATGGAGGAGGGTCGTCGGGAGTGAAGAAGGGTAGAAAGTTCGGAGCGATTATTCTGCTAAGTTCAGCATTGTGATGTATGTTGCTTAACCTGTCCCTTAACTTTTTTGGTGGGGGACGGACAAGTTCAAGTCCAGGTTTTCTTTTGCCAGCTATATCCAGTGTCTGAACTTGTAAGTTTGTCAGTGCCCAGGAGGGCAGATGCAATGGCAGCACTGTTACTTGAGGGGCCAGGGTGGGTTATTTTTCACCTGGGTCAAGTAGCATGGACATACTCCCCCAGCCTTGTTCCCACCATTTTATGCATGCATGTGCCCCTTCAATGTCATGTTTGTACGTCCTGTGTCTCTTCTGAAGTCCAACCGGAGACAGTGGCAAACTGGGGGGCTTGGGATGGAAGACATTTACTGAAGCTTCTCACCAGCACGGAGGTCGAGTTATAGTAAAATTAAACACGGTTGTTCTTGCAGAAAACCGAGGCTCGACTCGCAGAAGCCACGTATCGGCTCACAGGCTCGCACCCATCCCTAATTTCAGTCCCAGAGGGATTCAACACTCTCTTCAGACCTTGGCCGGCACCAGGCACTCACGCAGTGAACAAACATACAGGCAAGCCAAACATTCGTACATATAAAAATGAACGAACCTTTCTTTTAAAATGTACGTTTAGTAGAATTCCCAATTCTGACTCTTCATAGAGTGGAATTCTTTTCCTCATCCGGCCTTAGCCTGAGCAGAGGTTCCCCTAAATCAAGGATAACTCTGAGGCTGGTGAGCCTGGCAGGATGGAGCCCTCCCAGCCTGGAGATCAACCCACCCGCTCGACGGGTGGAGCCCACCCCGCAAATCCCGGCTTCCTTTGCAGCGGTGAGCTGAGCGGCAGGCGGGGCTCCGACCCGGGAGGCTCGGGAGGCGGGGGGTACCGACCCGGGCCGAAAGAGCCGAACCGGAGGCTCGGGACCCAAAGCGGCCAGCGGGCGAAGGGAGGAGCGCCGGGAGGAAGAGGCCGAGCCGCGGAGCACCGCCCCGGAGGAAGGGGAGGAGGCCGGGTGTTTCCTGGTGCATTCCCGACCCGCCCCAGTGACTCATTGGGGGTAGGAGAGCTCCCCGGGCCCGCCCTGGACGAGCGAAGGCGGCGCAGACCAGGTAAGAGCGGTCGACGGGCCGCGGGGTCCCCACTTCCCTCCCAACCCAGTGGGGCGAGCCTGCAGGAGCCTTCGGTGCAGCCTCGGGGATTGCCTCCTGGGCTCCGGAGTCTCCGGGTCACTGCACGCCGGCTCCCGAGCTGAGGAGTCCCGGCCCAGCTCGGCGTCTCCAGGGCTCGCTCTCTCTCTCCCCGGAGTCACATTCCAGAATCCCCGGGCCGCGGGCTCCCCAGTGCTGATTGCCCATTCCCCTGGCGGTGCGCAACTCCGCAGGCTCAGCCCCCCAAATCCCGAACCCCCGAGCCCCCGCCCGGACTCACCCCTGGATCCTGGGATCCCAGACCTCGCGCTTCCGGCACGAGGCTTAGCTCCAAAGAGGAAGAAGGCAGCGTTAATGTTCGGTGTTTTACCGTTGAAAAGTAAGAAGCCGACGGATCGCTAATGTTGTACTAAAGTGGGAAAACAAACCCGAGTCCACCATGGTTCTTGCCCTCAGAGGAAATGAAGGAGATTGTAGTCCCGGGCAATCGTTCTCCTATTCTTGGAGAGAAGGGCATTTTGGGCTTTGTTAAAGGAAACTGGATTTTGAGGAGCTGTGGTGCGCCGCGGCACGTTCATACCGAATTTTATACTTTAAGCCTCATGCGTCTGCTTAATTCGCAACGTTTTGTGAGTTTGAGAAAAAGGGAAGAGATTTGCAGTTGGGGTTTAAGGGCTGGGGGTAGGCAGAGGGAAGCATCAGGGCATCATCCACCGAGTTAGCTACGTGGGACTGTACAAGGCGAGCCCGGTGACTTTGCCCGCGGTTGTCTGCTAGGATTGCTTAAGTGATTCTCGTTGGAAGCAGCAGTGATATTCGGGTACGGTAACCTGAGATCAGTGCTTGCCAACTTGAGGAATTTGCTCCTAGACCCTAGCCAAGTTCAATTGGTTGGAAGTCGAAACACACCAAACTGGTGGAACGGGCGAATACCTGCACTTCCCTGGTCCCGAGGATGCTAGTGGTTCTTAATCAAAAGCCTGGATCTACAGGCCCAGAGCCTGAAAGAGCTAACCCAGTTTTTAAATAAATGTAAGCCGCTGCAGGCGTGTATCGTAAGAAGAATTCAGTAGGGTTGTTGTGGGATTCTCTGTTGCCTTCTTCCCCTAAGAGCAGGAACATTGGCAAAATGGTGCAGTTGAAAAGTCCCCTCTAAGAAAGTACATCCACTAGGGATTTGTGTATTTGAGGGTGTATTTAAGTTTTTTGTTAAGCATTGCATGTGTGTATGTGTGATATGTGTGTTCTCGTACGTGGCTGCACAGGTGTGTGAATGTGTTTGCATGAGCGTGTAGAGGCTCAAGACTGATTTGGAGTTTCCTTTTATTGTTTTCGACCTTATTCTTTGACACAAGGTCTCTCTACTGAACCCAGCGTTCACTGATTGAACTAGTTTCGATAGCCAGCTTGCTCTGGAGATCCCCTGCTCCACCATCTAAGCACTGGGGCTCCAGGGAGGTTGCTGTGCCCATTGGCGTTTACCTGTGTTCTGGAGATCTGAACTCCCTGTGCATTTGTGTGGCGGATGGTTATCGGCTGCGCGTCTCCCTGGCACCTAAGTGTGTTTTTAACTTTATGTATAGTAAAATCCATGCTTTGGAGTGTTGGCTGTTCCTGTAACTAGGATGTAAAACTAGTTCCTGTCACCTCACACGTTTCCTTACTGCGCTCCTTGTAGTTAGCCTTTCCCTACCATCAACTATTGCCCCCAGGGATCTTTTCATAGTTCTGCCTTGCTTTCTCCAGAACGTGCTGTCTTCCTCTTTGAGTCTGCATCTGAGATGATACTGTGCTATCATTAAAAAGTATGGAGGAATGGGGGGAGTTGCTACATTTAAGGCCCCCCCATGGTCTTTTATCAACTGAACACCATTAAGTAAAAACGCACGATAGCGTATGGAATACTGTGTTACAGAAAACCTACCAAATCTGTCTAAAAGAAGTGAAGTCTGTGCTTTGGAAGGTAGAGCCTTGGGAAGGCGAAATGGCTGGGTGGACGTGGAGGCTCGCTGCTCGCCTGAGTCACACACAACCCATGGTGGAAAGAGAGGAACAAATCCTGCAAGTTGTCCTCTGACGCGGTGGTTTGTACCCGTACTCACCTCCCCATACACAAATAATAAACAAGTGCTTCTTTAAAAGTCAAAAAAAAAATGTAGTTCTGGATACAATCTGGAGGAAAGACTAAAATGCGATCTCTATTTCATCTTTTAAAGAAAGCTCTATTTAGCAGGGCGGTGGTGGCGCACGCCTTTAATCCCAGCACTCGGGGAGGCAGAGGCAGGCAGATCTCTGTGAGTTCGAGACCAGCCTGGTCTACAAGAGCTAGTTCCAGGACAGGCACCAAAAACTACAGAGAAACCCTGTCTCGAAAAAAATCCAAAAAAAAGAAAGAAAGAAAGCTCTATTTACATATTTGACTTGTGCGCATTTGTTGCTGGCTGCATGGGTTTGTGTGCCCTGCGTTCATAGAGGAGCCTGTGGAGGCCAAAAGAGGGCGTTGGATCTCTTGGAACGGGAGTTACAGACTATTAGGAGCTGCCCTGTGGGGGCTAGGAACTGAACCCATGTCCTCTTGGAGAGCTCTTAACTTAGGAGTCATTTCTCCACATTTCTCCAGCCCCCTCCTCCATTTGAGAAAGGGTTTTATTATGTGGCCCAGTCAGCTTCGAACTCATGGTCCTTTCTACCTTAGCCTTTTTGTGTGTAGGTAGAGGAAGGGGTCATGAAGTCCACGTGGGGCTTGAACTCCTGATTCTCCTGCCTCCGCCCCCTGAATGCTGGGATTGGAGGTGTGTGCACCACTCTGCCTCCACCCCAGCCTCTGAGATCACAGAGATAAGGTACAACCTAGCCTGAAATAGTAGTTTTTTAAAGGTGAGGAAATTTACAAACTCCACCCCAATGGTATTTTTAGATCGTATAGAACTGTATGTGTTCTGAAAGCGGCATTCTGCTATGTCTTTAGCTTTATTTGTTTAAATGGGACTTTTTAAAAACATAGATCATATTTCATGTGTTACACATTTTCCCTTAATTGTGCTCATTTGTTTGACGGTCTTGGCGATCCTTAAATGTTGCTCTATACCAAGAGTCCAACCGAACCTTCTATTGACTGTATAATATAGTCGTGTGTTGTTGCATGGCATTGATGTGTTCTAGTGTGTATCTACACAATTGCATCACGTGTAATTGCACGAATGGAAATAGGTATGGATATTAATTACATGACAGGGTACTAGGAGTGCCATGGTCACTGACTTTTCTTTTCTTTCTTTTCTTTCTTTCTTTCTTTCTTTCTTTCTTTCTTTTTGTTTGTTTTGTTTTTTTGTTTTTCGAGACAGGGTTTCTCTGTGGCTTTGGAGCCTGTCCTGGAACTAGCTCTAGACCAGGCTGGTCTCGAACTCACAGAGATCCGCCTGCCTCTGCCTCCCGAGTGCTGGGATTAAAGGCGTGCGCCACCATCGCCCGGCCCCACTGACTTTTCTTTAGTGTGGATGTGTTATAATGGGTTTGATCGGTCTTCTATGTCTTCTCTCAGTGATGTTGCCTTTTAAAGTTATTTATTTTTATATGTATGGGTATTTTGCCAACATGAATGTCTGTATACCATGTATGTACCTGGTGCCAGAAGAGGGAATTGGATCCCCTAGGACAGGAGTTTCCACAAATATGAGCTGCTGTGTGGATGCTGGGAATTGAGCCTGGGTCCTCTGGAAGGAAGAGTGGCCAGTGCTCTTAATCACGGAGACAGCTCTCCAGCCCCTCACACTGTGGGTTTTTTGTTTTTTGAGTCTTTATTTATTTATTTATTTATCTATTTTTTATTGTTGTTGTTGTTGTTGTTTTCCAGACAGGGTTTCTCTGTGTAGTGTTGGCCTGTGTACTCCTGGAACTTAATTCATAGACCAGGCTGACCTCAAGCTCAACAGAGATCCGCCTTCCTCTGCCGCCCAAGTGCTGGGATTAAAGGTGTGCACCACCACTTCCCAGTATTTTAACGTTTATCCTGGGCTCGAGAGATGGCTCCGCGGTTGAGAGCACTGCTGCTCTTCCAAAGGTTCTGAGTTCGATTCCCAGCAACAGCTTGGTAGCTCCCAACCAACTATAATGAAATCTGGCGCCCTCCTCTGGTGGGCAAGCATACATGCAGGCAGAACACTGTAAATTTAATAAATAAATAATCTTTTAAAAAAAAGGTTTGCATCATCATCACTATTAAAAAATAAATTATCTCCACTGCAGTTGCTTCTTCTGTCTCTATCCTGTGTACAGGCTCACATTTCTCATTTAGAAAGCATCTTAATCACTGGTGTGTCGCTGTGAAGAGACACCATGGCAGAGGCGACTCTAGGAAGAATTTAATTGGGGTCTGGCTTACATTTCCAGAAGTTTGGTCCGTTATCATCAGGGCAGGAACATGGCTCTGGAGCAGTATCCGAGAACTACATCCTGATTCCCAGGCAGAGAGATTGGGTCTGGCGTGGGCTTTTGAAACCTCTAAGCCCAACCCTAGTGAAGCACTTCCTCCAAGAAGGCCACGCCTCCTAATCCTTCCAGTCCAGTGGTTCTCAACCTGTGGGTCTCTCTACCCCTTTGGTTTTTGAATGACCCTTTTACAGGGGTTGCCTAAGACCATCAGAAATATCAGATATTTACATCATGATTCATAACAGTAGCAAGATTCCAGCTATGAAGTAGCAATGAAGATAGTTTTATGGTTGGGGGGGTCACCATAACACGAGGAACTGTATTAAAGGTCTTAGCATTAGGAAGGTTGAGAGTCACCTTCTGATCCTCAAATACTGCTACTTCCAGATGACAGGGCATCCCAGTAGAGAAGCCTGTGGGGCCGTACCTGCTCAAACCACCACAGAATGACAATTATTTTGCTCACTTTCTTACTGCTTCCTGTTTGGGGCATTATTGCTTTTTTCCTGCAGAGGTGCAAGTCGTGAATA